TTTTGAACTTGTAATCCTCCTGCTTCTGCCTCCCAAATCACTAGGATTTAAGGCACATACCCCATACTTAGCCACATCCATTTTTAACTGGGTTGTTTTTGTGTTATTGTTGAGTTGCAGGAGTTTTTAAGTATATTTTGATATTAACTCCTTACTAGATACATCATTTGCAAATATTCTTTCCTTTTTGTTATATTCATAAGGTCTTTTGATGAATAAAGGTTTTAAATTTTAATGAAGTTCAATGCATTTATTTTCATTCCTTGTGTTTTTTTTGTGTCAATGAGATAAATCATTACAAAATCCAGGGTCATGAAATTTTTCCCTAATATTTTCTTCTAAATATTTTACAGTTTTAGCTCTTAAGTTTGTGTCTTGGATCCATTATATGATATAAGTTAAGAGCCCACGTTCAGTTTATGTGGATATCTATTTTTCTCAATACCATTTATTGAAAAAACAATTGCCCTCTCCTCATTGAGTAATCTTAGTAGTATTATTGAAATCATTTGACCCAATGAGTTTATTACTGGATCTTCAGTTCTGTTTCAATGGTCTATATGGCTTTCTTTATGGTAGCACTACATTGTTTTGATTACTAGTTTTATGTTTTACAATTAGGAAGCATGAGATCCTAACTCTGCCCTTCTTTCTCAAGGTGTTTGAGCTATTTGATTTATCTTGAGATTCCAAATGAATTTTAGGATGCAGATTTCTATACCTGGGGAAAATAAAAGCCATTTAAATTTTGATAGGAATTGCATCGAATCCATAAATAGCTTTGGGTGGAGCTACATTTTAATGGTATTGTCTTCTAACCCATGGTGATGTGGTGTATTCTCTTTTACTTGTGTCTTTTAGTTTATTTCACTGATCTGTGTTAGTATTTTGCCAACTTGGTTAAATTTATCCCAAAATATTATATACTAATACATTGTAAATAAATATTTTTGTAATTGCCGGATAGGATTGTTTTATCATTGGTGTATTTAAACAGAACTTGTAACTGAAAATTTTTATCCACTGGACAACAATTTCTCATTACCCACCCCTAATCCCCTAGTAACTACTGTTTTTCTTTCTGTTTCTATAAGTTTGACTACTTCAGATAACATCTTTTAAGGGGACTCATGCAGTGTCTTTTTTTTGTGATTGATTTATTTTACTTAGCACAAGCTTATTTGTGTTGTAGCACATGACAGGATTTCCTTCTTGTTTGAGGGTGAATTTTACTATGCATTTTCCATTTTATGTATGTTTGTCCTCCCGTCTACCAATGGACAACTTCATTGCTTCTCCCTCTTAACTACCATGAATAATGCTTCATTAAACATGGGTGTGTAAATATCTCTTTCAGATCTTGCTTTTAGTTTTTTTGGATATACATTCAGAGGTGGGTTTGCTGGATCATATGGCAATTCTATATTTAATTTTTTTGAGGAACCTCCATTATGTTTGTGTTTTTCATAGAAGTTTTGTATTCCCACTAACAAGGCAAAAAGTTTCCACATTTTCCACATCCTCACCAACATTCATTTATTTTTCCTCATACTAATCTATATAAGGTGATACCTCATTATAGATTTTATTTGCCTTTCTCTTACAATTACTGATGTTGAGCATCTTTATATTCTTTTTCCATAGGTGTTTCTTTTTTATGATTCCTCCATATACATGGCTGATATTAAATGTCTCAATTTTTCTGAGAATTTCCTTGGTTCTTTTATAGCCTTAGGTATTGTGTTCATGCGTAATTTCTTGCCCATGCATGTATGGATTTGTAGTTATGGTTTTTAAGAACCATACCTATGGCCTGAGATATGACTTGTGCCATCATCAAGTCCAATGGCAGGCATCCCTCATGCATTTAAGAGTGCCAATTCTGTCTGCTCTGTTCTCTCAAGTATGTGGAGTGGAATTTCCCAGAACTGTATTGAGGAGGATGTTGGGCATGAGTGAGTAAAAATGCCATAAAATTTCCCACTATTTTCCCCACTATTTTCTTTTGCAGATATTTTGTTTTGTTTTGTCTGTGTGTTCACTGGATTGCTATAGATATTTGACTTCTTTTCAGAGCTCTTATGAAGTTAATTTGTCCTATACCTTGTAGTTTACTTAATATTTTCATGAGAGAACTGGGGACCAGAGCTTCCTATTTCAGCATCTTGTTGAACCTTCTCTCAGTATATATTTTGATGTTTATTTGCATTGTTTAGATTCTGGTTTATTTTAATACTTTTTTTGGTATAGTAAAAAGCTCATAAGTTAACCAATTGTATTTTTCTCTTTTGGTGTCTATTTTTAAAGTAGTTTTTCTATTCTTTCTCATTGATTTATCTGGGTAGTTTATATATTCTGAATCATATTCTTTTGTTTATTACATAGCTGCAGTTATTATCCTAATGTGCTCCTTGATTACTACTTTAAAATTTTATTAAGTCCTTATTTGATTATCAAGTACTTTTACTAGGTTCATGTATGTATCTTTTAAAGAAATTCCTTATCTAAAATTTGAGAAGGTTTTTTCCAGTACTTTCTTGTCATTTGTTTATAAGTCAATACTAAGTCATCAGTGCATCCTTCTTTCTTTAATAAATGTAGTCCACTTATCTTGTTCTATATGTATAAATTCCATTTTAACATTTTCCCTCAAATATGCTTTACAGAGAAAAATATTTTAGTATTACAATACTAGGAAAGAATACTACAGATAAGGATTCTCTAGTATTAGACATATCATGAAAGTTTGTTATTTCTGATAGCTATTGCAAGATCATATATACATAACCATGAACTCAAAATTATGCCCATATTGGTTCTTTTTGTGACAAACAGTATAAACTATGTATGTAAAAATAGCATGAAGATTTCTTTTCAGCTTGTGCTGTGATTTAACACTTCCAATAAATTTTCTTAGCATTACCAAATTTGTGTTTTCAGGAAATATTAATGTGTGATTTGAGAAAAAAGGCATTATGATCACATACGTTTGAGAAAACATACTGTATTAACATCATTGGGACTTTAGTATGTACATTATCAGTTTAAAGTTTCTTGTTATTTGTAAAGCAAAACACATCTATTTAACATTGGTGAATTCGTATTTTTTTCCATCTGAAACATTACATTCCAAATAAAACATCTACTAATATTTGAAAAAGTCTGTGGAATATACTATTAAAAATATTTCCTCTTAATAAATAGTTAAAATATTTCCTAATTTTAAAAACTACTTCTTAAAACTTAAAACAATATGAAATTAAATAGTAATAGTATAATAATCCAAACATTAACACATATTATGATAACGCTGGAAGAATTTATTTGATGTCCTATAACATCCATACCTTATATGTATGACTGAGATCCTTGTCCAACTACTCTTTCAATAGGAAAAGGAGAAACAGGTTAGATACTCAACCTAGTTAGAATTCTGCATGACAGAATGTGAAATGCATGCCTGTACTTGGAGTGGATGAGATGGTAATCCCAGAGTGCATTCTGGTTAGGCATTTATTGATTGCATATACACTGAGTGCTTTTTCATAGAAGTCATCTCATTTTAATCCTTATGTTAATATTATGAATTTGGCTATTATTTTACCTACTTTACAAATGAGCATAGTCAAATTTAGAGACTTGAATGCTTTACCTGGGATTCCAGAGTAAATCTCATTAACAAATGGTATTTGAACTGTTTCTTTCTGCACTTCTTTAACTTTCTGTCATGAAGAGATACGATATGATAATATATTTATGGCATTATCCTTATATTAGGGATTATTAGATTAATTTAAATTAGCATTTTTTCAAATTTTATTATTAGTAAGTAGTAAAAATAGGACTTGAAATCACAAGATTATTAAAAATAAGCTGTAGTCACTTTGCAGATTGGAGCTACCTTTACAAATCTAAGGCACAGTTTATGATGGGCCATCTGATAAGCACAATTGGTTGTACCTGTGATGTTGACATCTAGTGGCTTCTGCTATAACTGAAAGAATGATCTATTCAACCTTTGAACTCAACATTGTATTACCAGTAAAAATTATTCTAGATTATAGTCTTTGTCTGAGCCAGGATCAGAGTGAAAACTTTTATTATATCATTTTACCTAAATGAAGAATATAGAGTATTAAGTTGCCAGTGGCAGGAGGGAAGAGAAACAGGAGTTTTTAATAGGCATAGAGTTGCAGTTTTGCAGGATGAAAATATTCTGGAAATTGGTTATACATGTGAGTATACTTAACAATACTGAAGTTACAATTAAAAGGGGTTAAAGACATTAAATTATATTATATGTATTTTACCTCAATTAAAATAACACTTAAGAGAATCTTTGACAATTTATACTACATACAAAGTTAATTTATGTGACATTTTGGGGACATATTACTTACTAATTTATTGTTTATTCACAGTGATCTGCAGCCCTGGATCTTATAATCCCCGTGATGGAATTCACTGCCTTCAGTGCAACAGCAGTCTGGTGTATGGAGCAAAAGCATGTGTATAGGACATTATCTTGAATTATCTGGTGGTTTATTAAACATAAAAGTATATTTTTGAAATATTAATATATAATAAATCACTATTATGCTAAAATTAAATAATCAGATTTTACAAAAAAAGGTCTCATTGTTTTAATCATAGTATGTCCACATACTTTTAAGTGTGAACATCCTGTTATCTTTATCCATGAATGCTAAACCTACATATGACTTCAGAATATCTCTTGTATCACTGTTTAAAAAATAGTTTTAAATATACTGTATTAGATTAGCCCAGAAGATTTTGCAGGGTTTTAAAAATATGTATCCCATTTTCTTTACTATATATTCACTGGACTCAGGTTACCACATTTTTTTATAACTTTGATTTTAGCTTATTTCAATCATTTGATTTAATTTTATGGAAATTTAACTATTCTAGTTCACCCTTCCACAGTTCAAAGCCAGTTTTAAAGCCTACATCTTATTACTGTAGTTGTTAGTCTTTTTAGTGTAAGGCCTAACCCAAACCACATTGTGGGTTTTTAAAACAGTTCAATGTGGCTATCTTAAACCTCCATTTTAAAGTCTCTTTAATTACCCTGACATTTCAGAATGAAATGGAGAAATCATTATATTTCCCTAGATCAACATTTGAACTTTCTCAGTAGGGAGACTAAGATATTTCTTTCTTTTTTTTTTTTTTTTTGATAATACCTCTAGAAAAAGAATCACTCATTAGAACTTTAATTTTATTTACTTCACTATTAAAAATGAGTATTATGTGTTAGTTATTACTGATACCATGACTAATATTTATCTTCTGTCACACAGGATGTTATATTTGAATTTGAAAACTTTGATCAAAGTTTTAGGTACCAGGAAAATACATAAATAACTTACAAAATGAACATTTTCTCAATTTCCTAAATATTGTTTGATTTATATTTGTATCATCTTTGCTATGGGACATTCCTGTTTTGCTCTTCATATTTCCTTTCTTAAAAGGACACAGATATTTGTACTTACCAAATTACACAAATTGGATGTAGGTACAAGTGGGCAACACATTAACAGAAAAAGTATTAATTATATGCTGGGAACTATTATCCTTGATAAAATAAGTGTATGGTCCAGTAATTAAGTGTATGGCCCAGCCATCCCATGGACATATATAACCCTGGAATTCTCACACAAATAAAAATGGAAGATAAATTAACTGTGGCTGTATTTTGTTGTTAGCCCTGGTAGTGCTTTTTTTTTTAAATCTCTTTCATCATTATGATGTGATTGTTTTCATATAGTTTCATAGAATTTTTTCAAATGCCTTCTTTCCTCTGGTAAGTAACATATTAAGCATTTTTACACTACTGGAATGAGTTATCATAACTAGTATAAAATGATGAATTTGAGTGTATAAAATGATGAATTCGATATAATTCTTTCCTTAATTTTTACTCCTTAACACTGGCTAACTTTATTCTGTTATTTAAAATTTTACTAACATATCTTATGATATGTTTTTCTAACACATGAATAGCATCACATAAATAGTAGGTCAGCCTGGTAATGCAGAGATAGAGTTAGGATGGCAGTAGTAAGTCCTAGAGGTCAAAATCTATACTGAAGACATAGGTGATCTGGGTAAGAGTAGACCAAAAAAAAGAGGGTGATAGGAGTAAGTTCAGGATTTTTAGTTTAGATAGGCAGACTGGAAATGAACCTTCACAAATACCAAAATTTAGAACAACATAAGATGAAAGCATGAGTCCAGGCAAAGAGAACAATTGGCAGAAATTGAAGCAAAGGAAAAACATAGAAGAAAGCGAGACATTAATTATTTCATGTTCCTGTTTCCCATGGTGAAATGTTTTTGCTTTATTGTATTATTTATCATTTATTTTAGTTGGTTGTATATTTGTCTTTCACATTCAGTTATAGGATATTCCTGTGTTTTAACCTTCTTCATAGGATATAGTTAAGTGCATAATAATTAATTAATAGACATTTAAAATCATTTGAGTAAAAATACTTCAATAGCTAAGACAAAAGTACCTTCTGTTATAATGTCAGACAGGCTATTGAAAGGTTGTTTAAATTTATGACAATATGTATGATAAAAATCATAAAATAACCCAAGAGAAATTATCATAAATCAGCTTCTGTTGAATATTTTTGCTTGCATCAAAATATTTTACATTAAAAAATAATAATATCTTACACATATATAATGCCATAATTTTCACAATGTTTTTGAAAATTATATGTTCTGATATTTTTACCAACCTCTGAAGTTAGAAGGGCAAATATTATTCTCATTTTGTATTTATTAGATTTTTTCTCACAATATGTAGTATGTGCTCATTTGGCAGTATGTAAAAAGATCCTTAAAAAATTAGATCCAATAATCTTACCTTTTGAAAACTATCCTAAGGCAGTGTATCAGAAATCAGGTAAAATATTACATCCAATGATATTAATTGACATATTTTATACACTAATAAAAAGGAAATGACAAGTGATCTACAAGAGAGAAATTATTGAATAAATTATGCTGTTTCCACATGAAAAACTGTTACTGAGCCATTAAAATCATATTTCCAAATTAAAGGAATTAATTAGGATTATATATAATTTATTAGTTTATCTGCACTGTTATTATTTGTTCAGATTTTTTAAATGCACCATATTGTTAACACTGAATGTCTCATTGTTATAGGATCATGTGTGAGTTTTTGACACTTTCAGTTCTCCAAATTTTCTTCAATTAAATAAATGACTTTCAAAATCTTGGAAGCAATAAATGTAATTTGAAAAATTAAAGTGGTAGAATTTTAGAGAAACATTACTGCTTATCTCTTTAGTATCAACTCACTCTTTCCCTTTTTCCTAACACAGCACCAGTTTTGCTTACTCTAGGCAGTTTTCTTTTAAGCCAGTTAGCACATGGTTCCCCTGACCATTGCTTGGTTGCAGCCTTGAGGTGAATGCACTTGAGTAGGAAGCCTACACTCAGACTTTTGAGTAGCTGAGGTATTGCCAAGGTGCCCAAAGAATTTCCTCCTTTTGTGTGAACTTTTTATTTATCTTATATGTACCATTAGGGAGCCAGAATTTCCTTAATATTATGATATATGTCTTTCCATAGAATTTTATTCATTTCATTTATGTAATTTCAATGAATTTAGAATTTTATTTCTTTAGCAAAAATAGAATAACATGGTTAAGTATTTCTATATATCAGACAGTTGCTAACATCTAGAATATTATGTTGCTTACAAAGTTTCTCTGTTATATGTAGTATTCTGATTGACATCTTTATGAAAATCCTATGGCATTTTAAAAATCATCTTCATGATGAATACCCAAAAGTAGAATTGCTAGACTTAGATATTTCTAATCCTTTGGATAATTTGAGACATCATTTACTAAATAATTATTCTAATTTATAGTATCACCAGTGATATGTAAGAGCTCATATTTCACTGTTCCCTCTCGGATGTCATTTTAAAGATTATTGTTTGATAGATGGAAAAGTTTCCCATATTTTCATATTTTTAGTACTAGCGAAGTTCAAAGTTTTCTTATATAATAATTCTGCTGTTACTAATGATAATATTTATTGAGTACTTATTATTTTGTGGTAAACTCTTCACATAGATTTTCATAGTTTGCCAAACTGATTTTTAATGTTCTCATTTCATATATGAAATATGAGTCATAATTATTAAATGATTTTCCCTCATTTACACATCTGCTGAGTTGTGAAGTTGATTTCAGCTTCACATTACCAAGAGCCCTGACTCCCTGGTCTTTGTTAGCTGGTGCAGAGGCTCTATGGTGTCCTGACCTCTGGCCATTTGGGCTCTTCTCCTTCATTCCTAGCACAACTTCTGTCCTCATGGTTGCAAGTGCTATTAAGTCTCCAGACACTTCATTTGCCTTCCATTCAGATAAAAAAATGAATATACAAACCCATTATAAGACTTACATTATCTCTAACAGAATAGTGTCACAGGCCATTTGACACTTAAAGGAGACTGGAAATAGATTAATTTTGATCTCTTTAATACAGAAAAAGGAGTAAAAAGGGGGCACTCCCTTTAACTAACCTGCATTGATGCATACCTTCACATTAATAAATTCTATATGTAGTATGCTCATTCTGTCCCCCATGTAATACAACTTCAAACTCTTACTCAGTTACTTCATCCAAGTTGAATGTCAGAATCATGGGTAATGTGTAGAAGTTTCCTCAAGGTCCAGGGTCTCTGTGGTCTAGACAGTTTGCCTCCAACCATCCTAATAGAAAATGAATAAAAAGTAACTAATTGAAAACTCCCATGCAGGAAAAGGAGGGAAGAGAAACACTTCTTAGTCACCAGCCAAGTAGACAAAAAAAACGGTGAGATTTTTCTCAAACTGCAACACCTCTTCCACTTCTTTGCTATGAACAAGATTTCTTGGTGTCTTAGGCATAACTACTACTGTTCCATCAACAGCAGAATCTTTGTTAAAGGCTTTGAATATGTTCACATGTGCCTCCAAAACCTTATTATGAAAGTTGTTCTTGCATTGCTCTATGACTTTTCCCATGCTGCAACAATGTTTCTGATGGCATTTAGAATGTTGAAACCTTTCCAAAACTTTTGAAGCGTTTGGTCAGATTCATTCTCTTCAATATCCTGTGCAAATGTTCAGCATAAATAACATCCTCTGAACACAGCTATTGCATCTTTGTGCAGTGTGATTGTATTATAAATTTTACATTAAGATATGCATCACAGATATGCTATAGATGCCCTGATCAGAAAGAGCATGAGTGGGATGTTTTACATACAATATTATCTTGTTTATGTAATAAAATGGTTCAAAAACCATTCTTCAGACAATATTGATGTCATCCAGGATTTGTTGGCAATTATAAATGGAAGCATATGCTTGCTCACATTCTTGAGTGCTCTAAGGTTCTCTGTTTGCTGCAGTATTTCCCTCCCCAAAGCAGTGTAACATCATCTTTGAATGTCTTGAATCCTAGAATTTTCTTGACTCCTAATGAATGCATGTACACTCCAGCATATATTTTCAGAACAACAAGCTAGTTCATCATGATCCAATTATGTATTCTGGCAAATAATTCTCATCTTCAATAATCCCATTGAGCTTTTCCTGAAAAGCTTGATACTTTCAATATTGTTTCTTATGGCCTTACCATTGACATTTTCATATTATGAAAATCATGACATCTTTGCAACATGGAACAACCCAGGCCCTGCTATAAGCATGTACACACATGTATCATTTGCCCACTCTTAGAGTATCAAAGACTTCTTGCCTTCGCCTGCTGTTAGGTCATCCTTTTCCTGTTATCTGGCTCTTCTTAGAGCTTTCTTTTATCTGAGTCTCTTGACTAAACTGGGATCTATGAGAAGCAAAAATAAAACAGGGAACTCTGTAATGTACTTCCTCAAATTCCAGGGTCCTAAGATGATAGTTGCTTTCTTTACAACTCTCAGAATCTTCTTATGCTGCTGCTTATGCTATGTGCATTATTTTAGTAATCAAAGGGAAGACCTGGGAAGAATAGTGTAACTTTATCTTGACAGAACCAGGAGTCTCACATTATATAATTCTAGTATCTTATTAACATCTGTGAAAGTCTCTAGTGATAGCCCCTTTTCTATACCTGATACTGGCTATGTGTGCCTTCTCTTCCTTTTTGTTCTTGACAGATCATTTGGAATTGTTTCTTACTTTGCAACATAAGGTGACTTTTTGTTTAGTTGGGTTTTTTGTACTGAGTTATATCAATATAATTGTTATCAGAATCAATAATCCATATGCTTTCAGCTCTTTATAATGAGGCTTTCTTTGTGACTCAATGTAAAGTTTTTGTTTATATATTTTTACATATGCTAATGAAGTATATACATTCTGTAATTTTTTCATGAAGAAGTATGTACACATCCATTAAGCCAAATTTGTTAATTATGTTGTTGACTTCTGTATTGTTTTTATGATTTTTTTTCTCCTATACATTCCATCAGTTACATTTTAAAAACTACATAAATTATAGTATGCACACTTGCCTTATCAAGACCCAATACTTATTTATGCTTTTATCATTTTTTATCCTTATCCTTTAAAAACTGAAGTTGAGATAAAGATGTTGAAATAAAATGAAAACTGAAAAAACCTCACTATCAATAGATAATCCCTAAAAGAAATACAAGGAGAATTCCTTAGGGGGGGGATTCCCAATGAAAAGTAAAAGAAGGACTAAAACCCAACAAAATTTGCAAATGCATGGAATATAATAATAGTAATAATTTTTCAGAATTAGAATGAATGTACATCAAACCAAGACATGTAATTAAGGAAAAGATAAATGGAGATAAACTGTACTATGCCTTTTGCATCCTCTGCAAAAAATGAGAAAACACAAAAGTTAATTCAAAATGGATCAAAGACCTATGAATTAGAACAGAAAATTTGCAAGTGGTAGATGAAAACATAGACACACTACAACACATTGGCACAAGCATTTACTTCCTTAAACCCTAAAGCTCAAGAAATAAAACCCAGAATCAATTAAGTGAGAGAGCTTGAAATTAAAAGGTTTGTACAGCACTGGAAATGAGCATAAAGATAGAGCCTACAGAATGGGAGAATATCTTTTTGAGGTACTACTCAGACAGGATTAATATACAAAATATATAAAGAACTCAGAAAACTTAACACAAACCCCTACCCCCCAAAAAATAAAAAAAAAACCAATCCATAAATGGGCAAAATACAAAACATTTCTCAGAAGAAAAACAAATGGCCAATCTCACCACATCCTGCTCGAGGAGGAAATAAGTAACCCGTGTGGGCTGGCCGAAAGTAAAAGGCTAAAAAAGTAGTATTAAGAAATAAAAACAGGGCTGGGATTGTGGCTCTGTAGTAGAGCACTTACCTAGCATGTGTGAGGCACTGGGTTCAATTCTCAGCACCACATATAAATAAAGGCCCATTAACAACTAAAAAATATATACTTAAAAAAAAGAAATAAAAACAAAGGGCACAAGAAATGTAGTAGTGGCTTGATGGGTGGAAAAGACTTGATGGGTCTGATCTTAACAAAGGGAAAAAGCCCTGGAATACTTTATTTATAGTGAAACACATCAAAGGAATTTATTGTAAAGGAAGGGTTTCTCAAGGTAAACAAGAAGGGAGAGGCTATGGGGAACTTGGCTTGATTGGAGACTTATCAATTGTGCAGGCAGCTGGGTCCTCAAGACTAGTTGGGCACACTAGTATCTCTTTCCATTCCAGGGAGTTGCATTTGAACCTAGGGCAGTATGAACCAATAAATTCCACAGTATCATAGAATTCTCTTTGAACAGGACAACGGAGCAATCTCAGGTTGGTAAAATAGCACTGAGAGTTCTCAGACAGGCACACCTCCGCTTAGCAAAGTTTCCAGCTCACAATTCATTTGCGGCTCCCAACAGGTTAACAAATACATGAGAAAATGTTTAATATTCCTTATCACACAGGGAAATGCAAATCAAAACTACATTGGGTTTTCATCTCATTTCAGTTTAAATGGCAATCATCAAGAATACAAATAATAAATGCTAGCAAAGATGTGGAGGGAAATGTTAACTTTTACATTGTTGTCGGGATTATAATTAGTACAAACACTTTGGAAAGAAGTACGGAGATTCCTTAAAAAACTAGGAATGGAACACCACATGACCCAGCTATTCCACTCCTCAGTATTTACTGAAAAGAACTCAAATCAGCATACTATACTGACACAAGCACATCATTTATAGCAGCACAATTCAATACATAGCCAAGTAATGGAACCAGCCCAGGTTTCTATTGACAGATGAATGGATAAAGAAAATGTGGTATATATACATGATGGAAGGTTATTCAGCCATAAAGAAGAATGCATTTATGGCATTTGTCGATATATGGATGGTGTTTTAACCAGCTTTCCCCCTGCTATGACCAGAAGATCTGACAAAAACAAATTAGAAGGAAAAGTTTAGTTTGGCTCACAGTTTCAGAGGTTTAGCCCTTGGTTGGCTGACTCCATAGCTCTGGGTCCTAGGAGAGGCAGAACATCATAGCAGAAGGTTGTGGCATAGAAAAGCAGCTCAGAACATGATGCAAGGAAGCCGAGAGCTCCACTCATCAGGGTCAAAATTTAAACCCCACAGCACACCACCAGTGATCTATCTCTTGCAGCCCCACATTACCTGCTTACAGTAGCCACCCAGTTAATCCATATCAGTGGATTAATCCACCAAATTATGCTATAACTTTTATAATCTGATCACTTCACCCCTGAACCTTCTTGCATTGTCCCACATGTGAGCTTTTAGGGGAAATCTTATATCTAAACTGTAACAAATAGAACCGGAGAACATCATGCTAAGTGAAATAAGTCAGACTTAGATAGTCAAGGATCCAAGGTTTTATTTCATATGCAGAAGCTAGACCAAAAAAAAAAAAAAACCGTGTGGGGGAATTCCATGACAATAGAAGTGGAGTAGGGGATTGAGGGAGAGGGAGGAGGGATGGGAAAAGAGAGGAGCTACTGACTAAATTATACAATGTACATATGTGAATATACCACAGTGAAATTTACCTTTATGTATATCTGTACAGCACCAATTTTAAAAGCAATAAATAAATAGAAGGTAGATAAGAGTAGTAAAGGAAGAGGACCAGAAGGAAGGAGGAAAGCAGGGAAAAGAAGTATTGAGAACTGAAATGGAGTAAATTTTATCCTATGCATGTATGACTATGTCAAAATGAACACCACATAATAGTTTTATTATGTAAAACTATAACGTGCTCATAACATTTTAAAAAGCATCAGTAAATACTAATCTTGATAAGTTACAAATGTATACTATAACCTTTAGGGTACTCGTCCTGTATATGGAATTCTAGGTTGGTAGTTCTTTTCCTTCCACATATTGGAAATTTTCAACTGCTTCAGATATCCATGGTTTCCTTTGATATTAGTTAGTATAATTGTTTTGCCTGGAATCTGTGTCCTGCAGCTGCTTTTTGGATTTACATTTTTTGATAGCTTCACTGTAGTTGGTCACTTAGGAATTCTTCATTGGATTATTATCTTTCATTAACTTAAAGTATTATCGCCATTATCTTTTCAACTATTACTTTTCTGCTCCATCCTGCTCTTTCTTGCCTCTGGAACTTCAACTTTACACTACATTCTTTACTCTCATCATTTTCTCTCTGTGCTTCTTTTGATTTGTTTTCCAATTCATTAT